TAAATCCGAAGGTAATGCGCTTGTTACATGACGGAGCGTGCATATCGATTTTTCTAATTACTTGCTTAAGGAATGCGCTAAGTAACATCCAATACGTTAACACTCAAGCAACGATGCATGATCCTAGAACGAAATTCCATTGTCATTTCATTACAGACCAATCACCAAGGGGTTAATTAGAATAATTAATTAATGTAAGACTCATCTTTTGGGGATACTTTAATGCAGGAAACATATATAGGAAACAATGCAATAAAGAGAACCGTATGGCCCTGTAACTTAAGTTTTTATGAAGATAACTCACATTTCACAAATTACCAAATATTTCCATGTGAAGATGGAGCAACTCATTTCATCACTGGGATCGGAATATGGCAATTTTACCGTATTTTCTTTCTGTTATTTCGTACTAAAATACTTATTCTCGTGTTTTTAAAACGAACTATTTTCAATCTACGAAGTTTGACGGAAAATCAAATACTGAAATTCCCTTCAATTTTGGTATGACAGTGGCATAGTTGAATTATTCGTGCATAAAATTATCAGCACCCCCAACCCATAGGAATCAAACAAAATATTGACAATTTCAACAATCTTTTAGTCTTTGGCAACAAAAAATATGAAATAGAAAGATTAAAAATGTAGCAGTGAATTTATACCACAAGCAATACAGCTGCCTCTGTGGGGTCTCACCAATTCGACCCAATAAGAAATCTTCTATTGCCAAAATAGAGTCTTTAGTCCGATAGACGCGTTCGTCATAGAGCATAGGCGGATTTGTGAGGTTGAGCGGAAATACCTATTCCCCCACGCTTATCATTGCACGTCCAAATCTGGTCGAATTTTGACGGCTTTTCGAAATTAACGTCTGCGGTGGATTAAAACGGAATGGTAAATTATGGCTTTTACACCAAATTCGTATTGACTCTAAACACATTACGGCTTCGGTCGTTCTGCGTACTAAACAGGTCCACTCAAATATGCCCTTTGTAATTCGTATACACTACAAAACAAATAAAATGTCATCATGGAAAAATGATTCAAATTCGTTGTTTTTTAGAAAAAATGAACCCCAAATAATATTCATTTTTAATGGAGGACTGAAATGTATAATAATTTTAATTAAATATTAGTTTAATTTTGTTAAAATTTTTACTATGGTCTTAGATTTATAAATGAGTACTTTTACTTGGTAATATTGGCCAACTAAAAAGCGACAACAGCGGATGTCCATGTTTGTAGTGTCGCGGTCAGGAAACAAAGACCCAGGACTCGTTTCCCATATGACCACCTGTTAATAAACTGGCATAATTACATTGCCGCCGGAAGTTTCTTTTATCCTAGGTATGGGAGCGCCACTAACGCAACAATACCATGGAGAATGAAGAAAATTTAATATTAATTTTAACTGGCTGCTAGATTGTTCTTATATGAGCTCTGGCAGTGGGAAAAAGAAAACTCTTGATAGCAATATTATTGTGTGGTCATTTCAATTTTTTTATTCAAATCCACACATGCATGGACAACGAGATCTAAAATCAAATTCAACTCTGTGACGTTTCTTATAAGATTATACGGTTGGTGTGAGTTACGTTTTCTTAAACTTTTATTCAAGAAAAATCGCTTTTTAATCCTTTTAATCCGCCCTGAACAATGAAATCGATTGAAGTTAACGCGAACTACAAACACTTGGAACGCATTTGCACTATATCGACGTTCAAGGTTATACTTTTTAAAAATTTCAGTTCAGTCTCTGCCGAGAAAATGCCTTTAAATGAACAGCTAAATGACTGCGATGAAGGCTAATCTTATTTCCGGAGATAGAATTATTAGTAAAACGAAGCATTTGATTTGTTTGATCATACGGTTCTCCTATATTACATTGAGATAGGTGAGATAGTTCTTAAATATAAATTCATACAGAAAGGCATTCTCAAACTATACTCTTCGCTATCGGGCAGGTAATCATTTCCCTCCAATCACGAAAGTTCAACTTGTTTATAGTTCCCAATTATCTACGTTGTGCAATGGTTTAAAAATATTTCAGGGTGTCAAATTCGACCCTTGACGGGTTTACTGACCACATCAAACACGCGAGGGTATACCCATAGGAAAAGCGTAGTTGACACCGCATCAAAGATCGAGAAGTATTCAGTTGAAAACGATGAAAGCATGCAACCACAACAGTCACAATGAGAACGATAACCGCTGAAATGATACCTGCCTGGAGGATAATTTGGATAATGTTGAAGGTATATTGGCGTAATTGGATTTCCAGCTGCTCTCTTGATTTGGCTAAACATCAATATGTATTTAACGCTATAAAAGTTGTGAAAAGTGCAGAAGTCGATAATCGTTTCCGTTGAAAATATGATGACGTAGTTTTCATAGAAAGACACCCACTATCAAACTGGTAACGCATTATACTGCTTATATATTGAAAGCCCCACAAACGCTTCGTATCTCCACTTGAGTTGAATGCCAGATACTAACTAACATGTTGGCAGTGAAGTTTATATATCTCCCGTGTATAGTTCAGAATCTGAATATAATGGATAGTCAAATTTGACACCATTTGTGATTATTGAACATCGCACGACATATTGGTGTTAAACATCATTTACGCTGATTTTCAACTTCAAAGGCGACTCAAATTTCCAATAATATGGGTAATATTTTCGACATATGGAATTTATTTACGTTATTGGTTCCTTGGGGCATTACACTGACAAAGTGCATATGCAAGATGCATGAATATTTCATGTTTTCGCAAATAATCGACAGGCCAATATCCATTTCCGAATGGGATGCGTATGTCCGGGTCGACATTGCGGTCACACTAAAGTAATTGAGTACGGCTTACTTGTTTATGAACTTTAAGGTGCTTCCTCATCAGAATAACATACTTTTCTTTTATAATATCTACGATACAAGCTATAGGTCAATGAAAATTTTCGACTGGGGTCAACTGACAATCACACAGTAAAAGATAGGACGATGGGCAAATGAAACTCTGGATATTGTCGAGTTTGGATCACATTTGGCATAAGAAATGTAGTAAAAAAGTATGGTACTAAAAAAAATCATGCCAACGCTCACAAGCGATTATGCATGTTATTGATATGATCTATAGTGTGACGACGGAATAATTTCATTGGTATAAACTTTTTCTACCTTGTCCTAATCATTACTATCAATATTATATAACAATGGCATCATTTCTCAGTATTCGACAATCTGAATGTCTTGGAATCGTGTATAATTCCTTTACGTTGTCCCATAAGACCACACCCAGGCGTTGAGAGAACACTCGGGCATATTATCAGCACCAACTCCATTCAAAATATAGGATGGTGTAATTTATCGTCGAACTTTGCGAGTATTGCGTAATTTGCGTTCTAAAACTTTAACAGATGTGGTCGCCCATCTGAGAAATGGCCAACAAAAACAAAATAGGCGACAAGAAGTTTCCTTGTGATATGCACGAATATCTGATTTTAAAATGGACTAAGTCGTTGGAGAATTAAACCGGACCAGTGACCATCTGGAGATGTCATTTCGGTATCCACAACATAAGCTAGCACGACATATCTTTTGAAAATTTCCGCCTCAGTTAACCAGTATATGTTTGATTTTTGATGGTGGACGCTCGGCCAGATATAGGATAAGATTATCCAAATGACCAATATATGAGACAGGGGCTTAAGAATGACAGATCATATGATAAAATACATTATTTGTACATTTGACTCACGAAAAGACTGGACGACACGATGACCAACGAATTGAATATGTTCATATCTGTCTATGAATAGTCCGAGGGTTTAAAATGTTTGAATTGGAATTACCATTTTCCGCAGAGTAATGTAGATGTCGGAATGTTTCATAAAATATAAAACATCCTCTAATCCCAGTAAAATACGAAAACGATATGGAATTTCTATCAAAATGTGTTTCAGATAGCCGACATGACTAAAATTTTTGTAAGCAAACAATAATGACTAGGATATCCTGCAGAATAAATTCTCAACTCATAATTTTCTATGAATATGTATGTGCTTTTGAGTGAAAAAAATAATGGGAGCACAGAATATTTTCGAGTGTGAATAAAACTCAAAATTCACGGATGCGGTATATTCTATGTAATACGTTTTGTGCTTTAACTTTATAAATAATTTATCACTTCCTTGAATAAAATGCTCACAAAAATTGAATTGTAATAAAAAAAAATAGGAACACTGCTTATCAAATTCCGGTCAGCTGATCGGAGACTTGTAAGGATCGTCCTTTTCGAGTAGGCCTGATATACACTCATACGCACTCGGAAGAACGCGCAATCTCTGTGCAAATATCGGATTGTAACGAACCAACTGGGAGAAAGTATGCTATTACGATGGTCGTGAGAATTCAAAACTGGACATTCATTGTCCAAATCATTGACCAAGGGTGGGATATTAATAGACCACGTCATTGTGCGTAGTTTATCTTTGGGCAATACTTGTTGCTTTTTTGAAAAATGATATAAGCGAAATAATTGCCATTTGTTGCCAAATCGTTCATACTTGATCGAAATTGGAAAATACCGCGTTACAAGGAAACGGCGAATCACCGATGTAAGAACTCTTGAAGTCATCGAAAGTAAATTTTACGTAAAGCACAAAATCAAATATTACGTATCATAGATTTAATCCACCAACGCATAAATATGTCATAACATAGTAACAATGATACCTAACTATATAGTCAACCAATTTACCAACACAAAATACTTGTTGACGCCCACGCTCAAAATATGTATTGAATAATGATATCGTGATTTTGTCGCGAGGTATGATAACTGCTAACGCATGAAAGCTACGATGATTGTACTTCGCTGCGTTTGCCACCCCCAATATAATTTAACTTCTGTACTGAAAATTGAGCGATATTTTGTTATGACAAATCTAAATCAGTTTTATCAATATTTTTTTCAATTTATTCAGATGAAAGTAGAAACTTACATGATATAGACAAAGTCACGTTCTGACTTCTTACTGTTCCGGCACCATTCTTTGCCTCACATTGGTAAACTCCTTCTGCCACGCTATTGCGGAGGTTGAATAAATGTATCTTGTTATGCATGAATAAGATGTTTTTAGCTGCGAAAGAAAATAAATAGTCAACAAAAACAAATTAGGCGACAAGAAAATTCCTTGTGGTAGGCACGAATATACGATTTTAAAATGGACTAAATCGGCGGAGAATGGTAGTAAAAAGTGGATCTTTTTTTCTAACATTCTTTGGCTATAGTAATGAAATTTCTATGAGAGGCATCTTGTTGTGCACGAATAAGGTGTTTTTGGCTGCGAAATAAATAAATAGTCAACAAAAATAAAATAGGCGGCAAGAAACTTCCTTGTGGTAGGCACGAATATCCGATTTTAAAATGGACTAAATCGTCGGAGATCTATAGTAGCAAGTGGATCCCTTTAAGATTCTTTGACTAGTAATTGAAATTTCTATGAGAGGCCAATAGTATCTAAATATTTTGCGAATTGCTTGTTAGTGGGCGAATCAGTGCTTATGTCGCAGCTTTTCTTGCTCAACTCTTTAAAACATCTGACTGCGATAAAAACAGAAGATCCAATTTCGACTGCGGCTTTTTTAATTAAAAACGCGGCAATATTGCAACTTCAAGTGAATACAACACAAACTCAACACAAGAAAAACCAAACTCGACTGTGTGTCACCGCCTCGAACGTGGAAGACTATGCCTTCTCATTCTCGCATTCGGGGCTAATAATTACGCAACACAACAATAAAGCTATAGAAAATCATCACTTAACACAGCAATAACAAATTACAAATACAGGAAAACAAAGAATCATAAACACGCGGAATAATACTGTCACAATAGTCAACAAAAATAAAATAGGCGGCAAGAAACTTCCTTGTGGTAGGCACGAATATCCGATTTTAAAATGGACTAAATCGTCGGAGAACTATAGTAGCAAGTGGATCCCTTTAAGATTCTTTGACTAGTAATTGAAATTTCTATGAGAAGCCGATAGTATCTAAATATTTTGCGAATTGCTTGTTAGTGGGCGGATCAGTGCTTACATATCACTTAAAACGTGGAAGATGGCTACAATGTCAACTTTACAAACTTTTCATCCTTTCCAGGGGTTTTCAAAAATTAAGTAGATTTAATTAGTACATCGCCAATGTCAACAGATCGCAAGAAATATTGCCAAACGGGGTCGACCCCAGAGCAAATAATAAAACTTTGACAGGCTGTATAACAAAGATAGTCGCGGCGGGAATTATTTACATGTGGTCCGTCTGGGTTGTAAATATTGAAAGATGGGGAAAACATGACACAGATTTTTCTTGAATAGGAATGGTATATAACTCAAGATTGGCAGTATATAATCTTCAGTCTAACCGTGCAAAATGGACAGAGTTATGGTATTCCAATGCGTGGCCAATACCTCGTGAAAGATCCTACTTTTGACAAGGGACAATGATGTAATGCATAATCGCGTCGACGATAAAAAATGACGGGAACGTCGCGTTTGTTTGCACTTGTGGTTTGTGTGAAATAAAATATGGCGAATTCGGCCGCAAATTTCGAAACAGATGAAATGCGATTTTTGAGACCAAGCGTATATTAAACCAATCGGGTTTGGACAAGGATGAATCGCGTCTCCTGGGTGTTATTCACCACTGGTCCATGTATATAGGGTCCGTAATCCTCCAGCAATTTGCCAATTGTAAAAAATTCCATAATCGCGCCAAGATCGTATATCTGTAGACAGAATTTTACCGCCAGAATCGTAAAATAGTCACTGATTAATTCTATTTCAATATTAATAATTTCACGTGAATAATGATATCCATCGTAGAATTAATAACATGATCTCACACCCCACGGCCTACACCCACCTTACGAAGAAAAATTAGCGGGTCTTACGATCTCCAAAATAGCGTCCAAGTCCGCAGTTTTAGTTATCCCAAGAATGATTTGGTGCAAGCGTTAGACACAATTTGAAACTGGTAAAAAAATTATTCCCAATGTTGAGTCATTCTGGTGGATGTACGCGGACGACATGCTGGCGCTGAAACTGGATAGTAAAGCGCGACCGAAAATCGTAAAACGAACCTCGGAATTTTTATGCTCATATGCTTATATTTTCCTATATATAAAGACAAAACCCAGCTTACCGTTCTTTCGAAGTAAGTGACCATCCTTGTACCAAGATATTTGCGGCTTAGGAAGGCCTTCAGCTCGGCAGTATAGATCAGCAGTACCACCACGTTTGGCAATTTGACTAGTGGGCTCTTCGGTCAAAACAGGTTTGACGGATCTATCTTGAGATTTCCGTCCTGGATCGGCGATTGGACTGGGGCCAGGTGCTGCTTCGGGTTCTGCCCCTACTGTAAAAAGAAATGGATAAATGTTACTAACATTTTGGTGTATATTTAAATATATATATCGAAAGAGTCTTTATCACCAACATGTCGTACGATGAAAATACTCCAAGTGATAAATAAATTACTATTTTTTTGTTTGATTAATTTCAGCAAAGATCTCAACAATTCAAACGCCGTTATCCTGAGACAACAACTTCAATAAAAATTATTAGAGATAGTCCCAATTATGTAATTTCCAAATCACGAAAAATGTCGTACATTTTGCCACATAAAAGCGGCCAAAATAGTTTAAATTACTGTGAACTAAGAACATGAAAAAACAGTGACAAATCCGATTTTATCTTAAAGAGGATTTCAATTTAAACGCTCCAATTTAGTTTTTCAAGTCGCTTTATATTATCAAGTTAACAATTGGGAAAATTCCCACAAAATTTGGATTTCGGTCAGTACGTTTGTACTGTATACTGTGAAGTGAATTCTGAAATATTATTGGATTAAACAAGCAATTCTGATTATATTTCATATTTTATATTACTATTTTGATAATTATGAGATGCATATGATATTCTGTATATACGCATCTAGTGACCAAAATCACGTGGGTTTATTTTTTATAAAACTACGATGAGATGACAGTAAAATTGATGTAGTTTTTTTAATAGTGAACAAAACGCGACAAAGAAATCTAAGTCGGTCACAGCTTTAAATTTTATATCATACTCTTTAGCCGTTACGGGAGATGGTTATCTTAAATTACGTTAAAATTGCTTTAGATTGAAGCCCGCGAAGCGGAAAATAAGCCTCCGTTGACCAATTCGCAAAGGAATTTAAATAAAATATGTTTATGACGTCAGCGTGAATGACAAAAAATCAAACAAGGTTATAATATATGATGATGTACTGTGTTTGTCTGTAGATATTAAGTTATGACAATTTTATGGCTAAAACTGTCGGAATTTCAATTTCCTCCATACTCTGACGAATGATGGGGTGTAAATTGAAGTAGTCAGCAAACAAATTGTCTGTTTTTCAACCAATTTTGCGCAGATAACGACACAGGGGAAATTTTGAAATTATTTTCCGATTCCGTGAGCCATAGCAAAAACCTAAATCGAAAAACTCATAAAATGAAACGTTTTTTGGAGTATATATGGAGGGCTAATCTTATTTTTTCTCGCCATCAAAAATTCAGGTTGGGGATAATACATTTCTAAGCACCATGCTCATTTCGTGTGTTAAGATGTTTCCCAGTCTTAATCAATCAATTCAAACAGATGGAAGTGTTCAGTTATATTATATGAAAGCAGGTAAACATATAATAATATTCATAACTTTAAAATTTCAAAAATGCATTCTATCAACGCAAGATATTCGCGATTGACTGATAAAAGCAACATTTATCGTTCCCCAAATTCCTCGCCACATCAATATACACTAGAGATACGATCTTGAGTTGGATTGCATTTTGGACAATATCACAATTACGTTTTGCAAGACTGAATTGAATAAAACGTAATGACTAAAAATAAATTTTTGAGACGAGAGCCAATTTGCTTTCGACAGCAATAAGTTTGCGGTACTGGTGTTCAATCTGAGCCAAGTCAAATACCAATACACTCCCACGAGAAACGAAAAATATACTTACGACAAAAACACATTCATGTTCATATACAAAGAAATTAGAATTCGAATATTTTTATAAGGATTGCTATCAAACTAGAGCAGTCACCATCAAAAAATATATAATATAATGTCGACACGAGTACATATATGCCAGTGAGAATAGTTTGCGCCGATTTTGAAATATATTCAAATATGTCCCCATACAGAGGAACACAACAAAGAGGCGGCAATGCCCATAATATTATGGATTTTTAAAACTCGAATCAGATTGACAATATTGGATTTTTAATATTACGTTTTCTCATGATTATCAAAATCAGTTGCACGAAAAACGGAACCCAAATTCAAACGTACAATGATCATTTATTTCGGCATTTCATACGCTCGGCGACGTATCAAAGAATTTTCTAATCCCTAACGTACCCGTAAGACGTCTGTGAAGCCTGCGGGAGACCGTAAACATGAAAAGATTCGAAACAAAAAATAGTCGCCACGCGAACAATACCAGCGTATGTCATCGCATTTAAATTATTTGTCGTGATTCGTGCTAACTTGACTGCGGTACTATAATAAAAAAGTAAATTAAACTTGCATTTTGAGGATAATTTTGCAGAGAATTAACGTTAAAGATACATATTTTGTTAAAAGTATCAATAAAAGTCTGAATCTGACATCACCTTGTCGTAATCTGGTCAAAGCATGATGACGCAAAATTATAAACGTGACTTAACAAAATATTACTTCATTGAGAACTTTCAGCGATATGGATTAGTAGGAATTAAACAGTAGAAATCGGCGTCACGATGTCATTTCTATATTTGTTGATATAAGATTAAATCGTCATCAACTACCAATGTACGGAGAAGAAGTTATTTGGACCGCTAACTCACGACTGTGAAAATATTCAAAGAGATGAGAGCCTCACATCATGAGAACTTTTTCGCGTGACTATACCCCAAACAGTTTCTTGAATCTTGCGGTCACAACCAGGGATAGCAACAAAGGGATTTCAGGTATCAACATCCAAAAATGAATCTGATGAAACTTTGAATGATACCCATATCCCACCAAGTATGATAAAGTAATAATAAACCAAATTTATATGCATTTCATGATAGATTGATCATGATAAAATTTTGAGTGGCATTGTGGAAGTCGGTGACGGGAAATAAACTTTTTGGCTGGTTCGCATCCGGAATGTCGCTAGAGCGTAAACAGCGTGCGTCACGTGATGTAAGTGGGGCGCGTGGCGTCGCCGGCTTATCACAGGCTTAGTGAATCTACGCTTCGGCTATACGGTTTTTAGACACCGTGTGAATATTTCCACCGTCCATCCGCCGAAATTACCCATTTCATGCTGTTTTCTATTAGCAACAAAAAAATCTATTATCACACGCCCACATTGTCGATACGTAATTTATAATTTGCCCCAAAATTAAGCGTCGAGGCACGTGAGTCATCGTTTCGTAGTTCTGATTCAAGGCTTATGAAAGCCGTCCTACTAAGATTGTGAATGCCCATGTTAGTAAACAGAATTAATGGGAACAGCATTACGTCATGTGCGATTAGATTGAAATGAACAGTTGCAAAAATACTCACAACATCACCAAAGACTCACAGAACCTATTTATCCACAGTGCGCGTTTGTTAAAATCCCTTTTGAAAATTTAGAGTCGATTTGTAAATAGTGTTTTTACATAATAACATTATTGCATTATGAAGTTTGGGATCGACAAAAAAATTCAAAAAGAGACCACTACCCCGCATTTTATACATACATCACATACAAATCATGGGGTATGATTTAAAACAGAGAACGTTGTAATTTAATTAACTTCATTCATATCCATATAGCGCAACAAGAACTAAAATTTGAAATCAAAAAATGTCAGCAATCTAATGGGAACCTATCCTATACAGGCGCACCTGAAACAGCTTTCGTTGCTACGCCTCACTAACATTAGTAAGAAATTAATATTCGTTCAGTTGAACATTGTATGAAACGTAACCGGCTTTAACAATGGATTAAAAGCATGTAACCCGTGTGAATATGTGGGTTACATGAATATGTATAATGCTACTTATACTTTTCAGTTCATAGCGAATGCAATAAAAAGTGTCGTAGTGGACAACACTTCAAAAAATACCGAAAGTTCAAATCGAAATAGGATGTTGTTGTTATTCTGTTCTAGTTTGTATACCCCCATCACACTTTTAAAATCAACCGCGCTATTTAGATATATATATATATATATATATATGTTCATACTAGGGAGCACATGTGGAAAACGCAGAATTTTTCCGCTTTACATTGTTAAAATTGATATTCTCTTCTAACCAAATACAGAATGGCCGATTAGAAAAGTATTTCACGGTTTATTCTGCTTATCCGAACACGAGCATAGCAATTTGGCGCGGCTAATTAGGGGACTTAGTCACGGTGGACGCAAATTGCCGGTTAGTTATAGCCATTGTTTGCTTTTATCGAATCAGAATTTTTTATGAACTACCAAGTATAGCACGGACTCGAAGCAATCTTTCAAAACGCTGTTATCTGCGTTTTATGTTAGATTATATCGATAAAATATGATTACGAACCCAGCGTGAAACAGCGCTTCTCTGAGGCCACAAGCGCGTGCCACGGTACAGATGTTCGCTTGTATTGTTTGGGGTATTGGTTTTCCAATGACGCGGTCAATTATATTCCCACATAAAAATGGCTGATCAATCTTACTATGACAAGCGGATCACGATTGTTAGGACATTAGGTAAATAACCCATTCTCACTGCTGCTTCCAACCCAACGCAAATATAGTCTGTATTGTAACCATGACCTAAATATTTTTGATATTGCTTACTGGTTAATAGAATTGAAATCTGAATCTGATTTATTTTTCACATGCACATGTCTGAAAGTGTGAACCAAAAAAACGAAACCGATAAAAGTGGTGATTTCTTGAGTATGTTCCAAATTATCTCAGTGATGTTTATGTTGGGGGGGTCACTTTGAGACTTGAAAATTATGGAATATGTTAAGAAATGGAATATGTTAAGAAAAAATTTGTACTTATAACTGGAAATTCCCGGTGATAATTTTTCTTCTCAAATTAACATCCCCTAACGAGTTTGATATTGGCACGAAGAGTTCCCAATAAAACTCTAAACAAGAAAACAAAACCTCCGACCCTGGGTTAAAATATCTGTATTTCATCATATGACGAAATGAATACCGGTACTTCCGTTGGTATTCACTAACTAGTTACAGCGACTATAATTCTATTTAATATGATTTGAATCTTATATCAGGCTTTATAGACGTAGTTTATCATGGAATTTCGAGTTCAATAATCTCGCGTGACATCATCAAAAGCGACGGAACT